AAGAGTTTTGCAGAAATAATTCTTGAGGTCTTAAAAAAATCTTTTTATGACATGAAAGTATGTCGAATGTGAGAAAAGAAAAAAAAAAGGTTTGGCATAAATATTTTTATGTAATAAGGTGACCCCTGGATCATTTTTTATGGAGCTAAAATTACTCAACATATGACTAGTTACATACTAAGTACTAAGATATTTTTTCACATGGGATAAAGACTGCTGTGATTGATAGTTGTAGAGTATTCAATGGGGAACTAAATGGCGTGAATGATTGTTCATCTTTTTGGCATGTAATGATGCTAAAGTTATAAAGCTTTTGAATTTTTTTCAAACCGTAAAGTTTGAAATGGTTAAAATGTGTCTTAAGTACATCAAATTCCAGTTCTTTGAATCTAACGATGAGAAATCAGCAACTCAAACAAACAATTAATTTTCTTAGTCTAGCCATCAAAAATGTGCGAAAATAAATTAGCCATTTACATTTTGATCATCAACTAATGTGTTATTCATAGCTAACAAATGTTGTATAACTCAAATGGCTAGTTTCACAAATTATCAAAACACAATTGCACTTAAAAATTCTCAAACAAAAAAAAATTAGTCACAATTTGCCTCAAAAATGTTAATCGAAGAAATGTGAAGTTTTTTAATTGTCTTAATTAAAATACATTAACAAAAAAGCTAATGGACATGATTTGTGATGATACTCTGTGATAATTCATTCACTTAAGACTCTAATAATCGCCGACAAAAATATTTTCTTTTGAATTGCATAAGGCACTAAAAACAGCAACGGTAATTTGACCACTTTTGACAAAAAGCATGCAAATAAGTTTGTGATCTATAGTCATCATGGGATTCGTACATCTCCCATCATTGTTTCCTTGCAATAAATGTTTGTGGATTTATAAAAATTTTGTTGATATTTTAAATTTTAAAAAGTCGAATTGAATGATTTTAAAACCTTCAAATTTTAAATTTTTTCAATTGTTAAAAATCTTTACAATTTGACTTTTTAGCAATAATTAAATCCTTTGCTTCTTATAAGGACAAATCCATCAAATGAACAAATTCGTCATCATACAGTCATTGAACTCAAAGGTAACAAAAAGCTAATTTATTAGAAAAAACATTTCTTCATCATTTCACTTTCAGTTTACTCATGCTAATTCCTCATAGCTAATAAAAGAAAAAGAAGACAATCTCCATCAATGTAATGTCATCGTCGCACATAATTTATGAATTGTTTTACACGTTATTTTTTTTTCTCACAATAAGATTAAGTATTTAAAGACAATAAATTTTCATTGAATTTAAGATTCATTCAAAAAATGGCAAAAAATAAGATTTTTTTTAGAAAGTTTCTCACATTGAACAAATAAGTAAAATAAATTGCTGGATGAATTCTTGCTGAGCCGAAAGGTACGATAAAAGTTTCTATTGTCAAAAAAGAAAGAAATTCAATATAAAAATTTATGAAGGATGATAATTTTAAAATTCATTTGATTTTCTTATTTTTGCATAACATTCGATTAGATTTTGAGATAAGAAGAAGATGCAGAGTTGTTGAATGACATGAACTATTTACAGGATGCTATTAAAGCTATACAAGAATGCTAGCAAACACCATGCTTTTTAATAGACAACTAAATGAATATCCAACTGAAAATTCCTTTGCTTGAATTTATTTATTCCAAAATATTCCCACAAAATGCTCTAAAATGTTACGCAATCGATCACAGCATCAACAACAGCTCTGCATACGCCAAAGTAAAATACTTTCATTAATTTAATGATTTCTTTATACCACAATATATATATATATATATTAACTCCTCAAAATGTGATCATTTATTGCCTAATAATTCTCACTTTCAAGTCTCTTTAACTATCAATTTGAATCAACTGATCTGCATTGAGAAACAAAAGCCATAGTGAAATGTGAAATGCAAAACGTGATGCGATTTAATGCACAAAATGAGAAGCTAAAATTTATCTCTCAATTTCTTCTTTCTATTTCGTCCAAATTAAATTGTTACATTTGCATCATGATCTGCTCCCAATATTCTGATGATGCACCAGTAACAATTGTCTGCAGACGGTTGATTCAATAAATTACTGACATTTAATGTCATTGCTGTTTACTACTGTTATGCACATTTCAGTTTATTTTCATATCCAATTGGAAATAGAAGAAGTAAAATCATTAAGATGAAAATTTTTTTCTCATATTTGATTTCACTTTCGACATGCTTCTGTGGCTACTGCTGCATGCTGTCGTTTCTGATGCATGTTGTACTTTTGTTACAATTGCTCGTGATCAGCAAGTCGAGCAAAAATTTTCATATTCATTATTTTTTGCTGCTGTTGCTGCTGCACTGACCGATGAAGTAATTTAAAGGAAATGAGAGTTTTTTCTGTGATTGATTAAGTTGGTCATTAAGTGAATGACATAAGAACGTCTTCATTAAAAAAATATTTAAATATTATAGAATTGGACAATCGCAAGTGAAGAAGCATCGACGAGAAGACCCAAGATAATGCCTTTAAAAATTAAATAAGGAATCTACAAAGTAGCTCGATTCTGATTCAACTGCATTAAAGTACTTAATAAGCCTAATTATGAGACATAAGTGTGAAATCAAGGTCTTAATAAAGCTATTTAAAAAACTGTCGCAAATATACAATTATGATAATTAGGAGTGATTTTTTTAAAGCCATTAATCTGAACGGTACTTAATTTTTATAAATGGCAGGCTTAACAAGAATGAAAACTTTTCTGCTGTCTGTTCAATTTCTGTGTGGTCTTTTTGTCGGTCACTTTCAATTTTTAATTCATAAATTTACATTTAATCCACTTGTGACTGAAAGTTATGCAATTTATCTCCTTGTTAATTTAAATTTCCTTATTGAAAAGATTTCTCAACAATAAAACAGTAGCGGCTTCTTATTTGCCTTTTGCTATTTCACTTTTGTTGCGTTCTTATTCGTATGAAAATGAAGGAAATTTAAATAGCATTTCGCATTGTCTGACCAAAAGACAGCTTACAATTTTTAACCTAATTTATGTGGATTATTACTAGGGTGACCATCTGCGTAGTTTTACAACGGACAGTCCTGTATTTCAAAACCCTGTCCTGTATAAATTTGAAAACTTTGTTCCAGGTCCTGTATTTTTTTCACGAAAATTTCCGTTAATTTTCGAATTTTACTCTATGTCCTGTATTTTTCGAAAAAAATTACCAAAAGTCCTGTATTTTCATGAAAATTAGATGGTAACCCTAATTATTACGAATGTGTTTGTATGCATATTATGTGTAAATATTTTATAAAGTCCAACATATAATTAATAAATTTCTTAACCCCTTTCTACGTGTAATTAGGTTTTTATTTCCTAAATATTCCCAACCAAACTTATTATTTTCAATCGACGCTTCTTTTTACTCGGAAAATCTTCATTCTTCAAAATGTTTCGGTGTAGAAAAGTTCAGAAAATCAAGGCTCAAATACTGTTTATCAATTCAATCGAATTTGTTGACTTTTATAATTTTTACTGGAAACATTTGCTAAGCAATTCCAATAAGGAATCAACTCGTGATAAGTTTGTGAAAAGTTTAAAGAAATTTATTTTTTTTATTGTGATTTTAAATAATTTTATTTATGCATTATCAACTTTTGTGCGTGTATTTATCGATCCACATGATGTCCAAAAATCATTTATTGGAATTGCATTTTTTCCAACAGTTTTAAAGGATCTGATTAAATGTATTTGTATCAACTTGCATAAAGACAAGCTCATTCACATCGTTAAACTAATGCCGGAAAAATATACAACAGTTGACATTAAGGATCACAAAATCGACAAGAAACTCTTATGGATGAGAACTTTTATCAAAGGCATTTTTTACCACGTCTCGTGTTCGTTCCTGTTTTATGTTGGAGAACCATTAACAGCATATTTTTGGAACAACGAACGGATTTTTCCATTTCACATAATTTTTCCATTCAATGCAATGGCTGATCACTTTTATTATCCACTTGTTTTATGGATCGGAGTATCACAAGCATTCGAAGTTGCTCTTATGATTGGAAATCACAGCATTATGTATGGATTAATTGCACTATTTTCATTGGAGTTCAACATTCTCAAGGCAAAATTTGAAGGACTTAAAGACATAAAAAATGAAGAATTTGCTGAATACTTCAAAATGTTTGTGGATAGACAAAATGAGCTTGCAGTTTGTGTTAAGGAATTCCAAACAATCTTTTTGCCAGCTTTTTGCTTTGAATTTGTTGCTAGTTCCTTCATAATTTGCTTTACAGCATTTCAACTCTCAACATCCACAAACTACTTTAGTATTCTATTTAATGCATTATTTTTTATTTTCTCTATGTATCAAATCTTTATTTTGTGCTTTTTTGGACAAATGCTAATGGATGCAAGTGAAGGAATTGTCGATGGAATTTACAATTGTGGATGGGAAAATTTAGATAATGTTAAATTTAAAAAATCAATCTTACTAGCTATGATTAAAGCACAAAAATCTTCAAAACTGACCATTCTGAATATTTCAACAATTACATTGAATCAATTTGAAATTGTGAGTATGCTTAACATTTTAAAAATACAAAAATTTGAAAGGAAAAAACTTATTTTCAGATTCTTAAAACTACTTATTCATATTTTACATTGTGTCGCCATTTTTATGTCAAGTGTCAGTAAAGTTGAATTCTTAAAACTAAGACATTATTTATGAATGTTCCAAAATGAGCCATAAAATTCAAAAACTTAAATTTCTTAAAATTTAAATTAATTTAAACTTAGTTTTAAACTTTTTCTTAAAGCTTCAAAAAGCTTTATATTTCCTGATTAATTTGTAAGTCATTAAATAATTTATAATCTTTAAATTGGGACTCTATAGTTTAAAGTATCGGGTCGTTAGTAGCAATCAGCTTGTCGATCAAGATAATTCATAAAATATACAAAAAATTCGATAGGAAAAATGGAAAATTTGTCAAAATATGAAAATTTTCTACATTTTTCGAGGCCTTTAGAGAAATTTATCTTAATTGACGTTTCTTCGAGTGTTTTGGACGAGCCAGAAACAACCAAGGAAAAAATCATCGAAATTTTAAAAAATGTCTATTGTGGATTCATTTTGTTTGCATTTTTCGTCACTCTTCCGAATTTTATTTATAAAACTTATTATCAAATTCAAGATTCAGCTAATTTTGACATTGATATGTTTGCCAATGGTTTCACAATATCAATTTCAATATTGATTGTCGGAATGAAATTTTTGGTCATTTATCGAAATAAAAAGAAAATCTTCAAAATCATCCAAGTTTTAACAAAAACATATCCAACGGATCCCAAAGAAGTGTCAAGAATTGAAAGATATGGACGAAATTTTCATAAATTCCATAAATATTTCGCATATTATATTTACTCGACAGCTTTACTTGGCCTGATTCCACTCATTAATTTTTTATGGAGTGGTGAAAAGAGATTTGCATTTGATATTGAATATCCAGTTGATAAAAGCATAACCTCACATTATCTAGCTGCATATTTTTATTCAATTTTTAGCAGTGTCTATAGCTACTCACTTCTTATTACGGGAAATTTAAAAATTAATGGATTAATGATTCTCTCCGCATTAGCTTTTCATGACTTAAAATCAAAATTTGATACACTGCGGACTTTAACTGACAAGGATGAACTTCAAAAATCTTTAATTTCCTTCATCGAAAGACATTGCGAATTAGATGAGACAATTCATGAAATTCAGGAACTTTTAGCTCCAATATTTTCAGTTATGTTCATTTTTACATCATTTGAAGCTTGTTTGACCGCATTTCAATGCTCAGTGACAACAGAAGCAACTAAATTTATCTTTAACGTAACATTCTTCTCCTTATTATTCATTTGGATTGTCCTACAATCACTTTTTGGACAAATACTTAAAGATTCACACAACGCTTTGCTTGAAAGTATCTACAACTGTGAATGGGAGCAAAAAGCTGACATTAAGTTTGGAAAATCGTTAATTTTATTATTGGCGAAAACGCAAAAGCAGGAAGTATTTAAAATTGCAAAAATAATTGACATTTCGTTGGAAAATGTGACAAGTGTAAGTATTGATTTATCTGTCTTATCATTTTAAAAGATATCTCAATTTTAGGTTTTGGCATCTACTTGTTCCTATTACACACTTTGTCGTCAAGTCTATACGGATGGTTAAATAAACTGTTAACTTCTAAACTTGTAAAACAAACTTTTCATAAATTTATCACATGAATGTCAGTCATTTTAAATGTTGAACTGTATAAAATATTCAAAGACATCAAAATAGAATTAAATGTGCTTCAATGATTATCTTTTATAAAAGTTTTCAGTCAAAAATTCTTGGTAGTTCACTTATCGATCAATAAAAAATTTTGTTTTGTAGCTGATCAAGGATAGCGTTGTCCAATCTACTTATAATGACAAATCATGATTTGGTACGACTTAAATGTAAATAATAAATGCCTTTGTATTGTAATCATAAAAAGAAAATTATATAAAATATTTCAGTCTTAAAAACTTCGTTTTCAGTCCATAACGTTGTTTATAAATAAAGATCGTGAAACCAAATTATTCTAAATGAGTTTGACGAGAATTTCCACTATTTTCTGTTCAATTTTATTTGTAAATGACAAGGAAATAGCTTTGAAACACCCCCAACTTAGTTAATAGATATTAAGATTGTACAAGTATTTTTATTTATAAAAATGTTTATTTCTTACTACGAAGTACTTCTATGTTGATCTTGTAGTAGAATTGTACTATTTCACACTCAAATCAAAACCAATTTCAGGAACAATTTGAAGAATTAATAATTAATGTCAATAAAACATTGATTTTTATCAAAAATACAAAAACTTCCTATAAAACTATTCAACTTTAGAAGCTTCATTTTTAGTCACATAGAAAATTGGAAACAAAAATAACAAACCACAATAATTTCTAAATGGATTTCAAGAGGATTTTCATATTTTTCTGTGCAACTTTTGCTGTAAATTGCATAGAAAAAGCTTTAAAGCCCATCAAAAACTTCAACGAAACTTTCGCAAATTCAATTGCTATTTCTGAAGTTATTCATAAATTTTATACCGAAAAAGAGCAACGTTTTGATACAATTTTAAGTGAGGATTATTTAACAAAAACAGGTAGAACAACTGATGAACTTTTGTCACAAAGTCGTGGAAACTTTTCATATAATCTCAAAGTTTTTGACACTAGAAACTCTGAAAATTTCTTTGCTGTTAAAGAAAGCACCATTTTCTTCACATTTGAATGCTCAGATTTATTTTTCATTAACAACCAGTTCATCCTTCTTAGTGATTTTTCAAAGAATTTCAAGATTCTGATTTACATTGAAAAATGCACGTTGGAAATTTTAAAAACTCACATGATGTTATTCGTCAAACAGTTTGAATTGAAAATGTACAGAAGCTTAATAGAAGTTTTTGAGTTCTTCCTCATCAATCAAGGAAATTTCTTGCATTTGGCAACAATTGAGTGGTTCACAAAAGTTAAATGTAATTCTCCACAGCTTATTGTGCTAAATACTTTTGATAAATTATCAAGGAGATGGAATTCTGAACTGCAAAATTATGATAAATTTCAAAATTTTCACAGCTGCAGACTCGTGATGTTACTTCCAATAGAGAATATTATTTGGGGTAGAGTTGAATTCGATAAAAATTCACAAAGAGCTATTGGAATAGGACTTACACCGGTGATATTCAAAATTCTTTCTAAAAAGTTCAACTTTCGAGCTTATTATCAACCAGCTACGTTAGAATCAGACACGACATTTTTTAGTAAAAAAAAGCATATTGATAATTTCCTAATTCCTGTCGATGGAATAACTCACACACCAAATGTTTATTTTGAGGTTATTCAACCGGTTTCCTTGTATTCAAGTTTCCTTCACATGACATCAACATTTTTGGAAATTAAGGAATTAATATGTGTGACACCTGGCGATTTGTACACGCCTTATGAAAAATTGTTGCTGCCGTTTGATGCTATCACATGGACATTATTTTCTATCACATTTATCACAGCATTTGTAACGATATCAATTATAAATCAAACGCCAAAGTTTCTTCAACATATTTTTTATGGAAGGAAAATTCAAACTCCTGCATTGAATGTGCTGAGCATATTTTTTGGAATTCCTCAATACAAGTTACCAAGAACAAACTTTGCTCGATTCTTATTAATCATGTTTGTGTTCTTCTGCTTAATTTTCCGAACATGCTTTCAAAGTAAAATGTTTGAATTCCTATCAAGTGAACCGAGGAAGGCACCACCAAAGACAGTTGAAGACTTAATCGAGAGAAATTATTCAATTAATTTAATAGAATATTTTAGGCAACTCGAAGATATAATCGAAGACGAAAAGGACAAATGGTAAGAAATTATTATTACTATTACTGTGGTTCCTCTTAAATTGCTTTAACATACCTTATTTTACAATCTTATAGGCCATCATTTCACGTGTTGAACGCCACTGAATATTTTAAGGCATTTTTAACACAATCTCAAAATAGCTCAGCAAAACTAGCTCTAATAGTTCAAGAACAATCATTAAATTATCATGAAAGCATGTTAAGACATATTTTATCGTGGCTGCGCCTCTCAGACAATTTTCAGACCAGCTCATCTGGTTTTGGATTTTATGGAAACAATTTCTTCTTCCCGATAGTGGATAATGCTGCACAACAACTTATTGATACAGGAATAATGAATAGTTTAGTCACAAGAATTTTGAGGACTAAAATTAAAATTGAAAAAGTGAAAAATGCCAAAGTTTTGTTAGTGAATGATTTGAGTTTTGGATTTGTAATTTGGTTAGTGTCGTGTGGGATTTCTATTGTAATATTTGGATGTGAAATGTTTAGAACGGTTAGAATTTCAAAATTAAGACCACGAAAAAATAAAATAAAAATAATTGGTGAAAATAAACAAAAGAAAATCGAATTTTCTAAAGTTCATCCTGTTAATGTTAATAGATTTTAAGTGTTTTCAAAAATTTTATTTATAAAAGTGTGAAATATTCATAACTCTTGTTGCAATGTATTTTTTAGAGCTTTTTGTCATGTACCTTAAAAATAAAGAAAATATTGGAATGATTTTTTATAGAAATGAAGGACCACCAAGGTCACTAACCTGGATGCAAAATAAAAAGAAGTAATCTTACTGCAATAGACAAATTTCTTCTTTCTCATCATTCCTTTCACAGCATCATCAGCAACTTTTTCTGGGGTCAATCTAGGCAAGAAATGACGAATACTATCCAAAGTTTCTGTGATTTCTTGTCTCGTATTCATAAAATCTGGATAAACCGATGTCAATTTAATAAATTTATCATTTCCAGTAACTAGAAGCTCATCAGCAAATGATCTCATAAATCCATCAAGTCCTCGTTTTGTTGCTGAATAAACTGCAAGTGTTGGACCACCAACGACACTAGCAATCGAGCAAATTGTCATTATTTTTCCATATTTTCTGTCAATCATTCCAGTGAGGAAAATTCTGGACATCTAAAAACATTTCAAACCATGAGAATGATTATTATGCCATAAAATGGCAACTCACTAGCATTTGAGATGTCAAATTAACACTAACAGTCCTTTCAATGTCATCAACGTTGCAGGTAAGGAAATTTGACATATACAAAAGTCCAGCATTATTCACAAGAATGTCAACACCTCGCATTTCACTTTCAATGTCATTTTTGAGCTTATAAATTGCATTTTTGTCTGTCACATCACAATGATAAGGTTTACAAACAGTTTTATATTTTTCCTGAATTTCTGCAGCTGTTTGACATGCTGCTTTAAAGTCAATATCTGCAATCGCGAGATCACATCCTTCGTGAGCTAAACGAAAGCAAATACATCGTCCTAGTCCATTTCCACCTCCAGTAACGAGAGCTAATTTCTTTGAAATATTTTTAGGCTTCTTTGGATTGAATTTTTTAAAAAGAGCAATGATTGAATCATACAAAATTAGTAAAACTATTTTATATGCTAAAAACAAGAGTTTTAGTTTATATGAACTTTTTGACTTTGAATTAGTTGCTGGCCTATATTCGCTTTTCATTACTTCGTTTATATTAAACATTTTTGAATTTGTTGAGCTTTAAGTTTGGTTGATAGGTTATTTTTAGAGATGCTTGCTTAATTTGATGCAAAATATGATTATAATACGATCAATATTTATTTTGATTGGAAAAATTATTAAAATTCATGTGAAACTTTTCGATACAATTCCATGTTCCGAAGACAACTGATTGTAAAATAAAACTGAATTAAATTTCGTATAGTATTTTAGTAGCTTCCTAAAAATTTGTTCATAAATAACGTCTATTAAAAACTAAAATCTCAATTCTTTAAATTATATTGAGAAATGTTTCTATAGTTTTCAAATGGGGCCGGTTACTTATGACGTCCAGGGGGGTTGCAAGAAAAGAACAATAGAAATTCCTGGAAATTCATTTTCCTTTTTAAAAAATGACCGTTGATTTCAGACGACATAATTCAAGCGATCCCAATCCACTTTAAGTGTTGTCATTGACATCATAAGTGTACAACTCCTTATGTTATTAAATTAAATTCAAATATGCACATTAATTTATTTACATTTTAATTGATGAAGTATTTTATGTTGTCCATACTTTTGCTATTTACATACTTCAGCACCTCATATTACCTTTAGAACTTGAAACGTTCGATAATGTGCTTGTGCACTACGCATATATAATTAACTAATGCACATTGTGATCATGCCTTCTTTAATTTGTAAGTATGAAGTCATTAAAAATAAAAATTATGAGAGAAAAATAATCAATTACTTTGAAATTGAGTTAGAATTTTAGAAACTGTAATTTAAGTTTTTATATCTCCAAACGTGTATTGCCAAGTCAAACTAATTAAGCAAAAAAAATTATATAATTAACACAACCAACAGTTTTTTTTAACATTTCCAAAAAACTTATAATGTTTTATTTTTAATGTTTCCACTAAAGAATATTGATGAATCCAAAATTGATGTCGAAATATGCTTTTTTGCATTTTTTGTAAGAAATCTATAAAAAATAACGTAAAATTAATTTGAGCTGTCAATCCAATGCAATCAAATCTTACTTAGCAGCATAATAAATCGGCATAATATCCGTCGCATAAATATATTCCTTTCCGGCTATTAATCCGTTCACAGCATCATCAGCAACACGGTCCGGTGATAGTCGAGGTAAAAAGTGTTTAACTGCATCTAAAACATTTGAAATTTCTTCTCGCGTGTGCATAAAATCTGGATAAACCAAGAATAATTTAATGAATTCATCATTTCCACTAACGAGGATGTCTTCCTTAAGTGCTTTTATAAATCCATCTACACCTTTCTTTGTTGCTGAATAAGTGACCATTGTTGGACTTTCAACAATACTTGTGATTGAGCAAATTGACATTATTCGACCGTATTTTCGTTCAATCATTCCAGAGATGAAGATTCTGGTCATCTAGGAATTAATCCTTTAGCAACTTATTTTGATTTTGGTTAGTTCTCTTTTAACTTACCAAGATTTGTGACAATGTATTAACTTTCACAGCTCTCTCAATATCCTCAACATTAGATGTTAAGAAATTTGCAGTGTACAGAAGTCCAGCATTATTTACAAGAATGTCAACACCTCGCATTTCACGTTCAACATCATTTTTGAGCTTATAAATTGCATTTTTATCTGACACATCACAATGATAAGGTTTACAAATAATTTTATATTTTTCTTGAATTTCTGAAGCTGTTTGAAATGCTCCTTTATAATCAATATCAACCACTGCTACATCACATCCTTCCTGAGCTAGTCGGAAGCACAGCGACCTTCCTAATCCATTTCCACCTCCAGTAACGAGAGCTAATTTCTTTGAAATATTTTCAGGCTCTGATGACTTGAACAAATTGATGAACCAGTGGAAAATATCACAAATTATCACTACTGATACTTTTAATGCCACCACAAGTAATGTTAATTTATATGAACTATTTTTTTGAGGATTCACTGCTGGTCTATAATCTCTTTCCATTAATTCATTTATATTGTACATCTTTCTTTTCTTTCTTGTTTTATTAATTTTTTATAATATATTTTAACACTTTGTAAAATTTAACAATAAATTGTATGTGCAAATAATTTTTAAAATGTCATTTTGATTTCCTTAAAATAATTCTCACGGATAGCAAAAATTCACAACTTTCCTGAGCAAATTTTCTTGTAAAACTGAGAATAAAGAAAACAAATCTTTTTTGCAAAATTCATTAAACAATTTAATTGCATATTAATGAACTTGTTCACGAGAAAAAAATAAAAGTGTTTTTGAATGATCAATAGAATTTATAAGTGAAAAATATGACTTGTATGTGACGTACTCCATACTTGTTGTATTCAAACTCGAACTTAAAATCGTTGAACTATGATTTAAAAAATAATTAAAGATTTTTTAAGAAAATTATTTAAATCTTCAAACTTAATGCCTTGCTTGAGATTTGTAGCATCTTCAACTTTAAAGAATTCTAGTTTTCTAGTCAAGACAGCGATCATTGACACTTTAATCAATTCAAACGTCATAATAAGGAAGTAATAATTTTTCTAGGCAAACAAGTCAGGTTTATGAAAATAGAAATTAAAATTGTTTGATTTAAAAAAACCTTAATAGATCAATAAAACCAAGGTTTATTCTCTGTATAATGAACAATCTATGTATGACATTGTTGGTGAATAGTTGACAGAGATGACAGTTGAACCATTAAGGAAAATATCATAGCTTTGTTTGAGAAATGCGACTATTTAAATGCTAAATCAATGATAATGAAAATCTCAGACTCTGCTAGGAATGACAAACATTTTTTCTTTTATTTATTCAGAACTTTTTAAGTGAGTAGAATAATTAAATCACTAGAAATTTTTTATACAATTAGTATTAAGAGAATAGAATACATTCTATCATCGATCAGGATCGCAGTGCCTTCAGCTCATCGCAACGTGTAGTAACACACCGCCAGGCTGGAACCCTCTCACATTATAGTATTAAGAGACTCGTGCAGCATTCGTACATTCCACAAATGACTTTTGCAAATCTGTTGATTTTAATCAATCGTGCACAGCTGATAAATTCCATTTTGATCATTTTTGATCATTTCATCAGCTCCGCACCCTTGATTCTAATTCTCATCAAATCATTCATAAATCAAAATATTTCCAGCTCAAAGTTCAAGTTTTGAAAATAGTTTTTTTTGCCGTAAGTAATTATTGGGTAGATGAATTTAATTGTATAGTTGTCAAGTTTATATTAAGCGAATATCTAACGCAGCCTTTGATCAAACTTTTCAATTGAATTAGCTGAATTATTAGTTATTAAAAGCAGTTGAATCAATCGAATTTATACAACTAAAATGTTTTTAATTTCTGGAAAATTTCAGCTGCGAAAAAATAATCTTTAAACTTATCCGCAAGACATGAAACAATTAAATTATGTCAAGACACAAAACTTTTCACAATTCACTAAGTTCACGCTACATATATTATATTTTATTAGACTTCACACTATTTATTTACATTTTATGCTTCAAAATTACTTAAGGCATAAAAATGTTTGAGGAAGTGAAAAATTGTCACTCAAAATAAATTCATGATGATGTACAATTAAAAGTGTCTCAGACAAGTGACATAAAAGTTTATGAGATAGGTTTTATAACATTTCATTGTGACATAGAATTTGAGGAAAAAGTTGATTCATGTAAGAAGAATTGGATTACATTATTTTGCTCAATCTACTATTCCTGAAAACCCCTCAAAAATTTCACTTTTAATTTCATTTGTTAAATGAATCTAAATTAAACTAAAGCATATCCATCCAGCAATAAACAAGAGCACAAGCAATTTCCTCATCATCAGTTAATTTCATTTTGTAGTCAAACCCTACAATTCATTCATACATGCTGTCACATAACAATAACTTATTTTCCTTAATTTATCTATGTTAAGATCATTTCACTAGAAATGAAATGCATCATTAAAAAGCTATTTGGGTTATCAATACGACAGACATATGGTTAACAATGACATTTCATTATTTTCACTTTATTGTCATTCTTATTTTTTTTTTTTTCGCAAAATCTTTATGTGAATAGAAAATAAGAAATTTTGATGCAAAAAAAAACTTATTTTCCCACATTTATTAATTGTCTGATTAGTCACATGTGTGTCTCATTGATTACTTTAGCATAAATTCTTCTTTTGTCATTGTCGTTTAGATAAATTGAAGGTCGTGAAAGCTGCAGTACATTAAATAGAAAGTATCTTGAGGCTTTTAAACAAAGAATATAAAATAATGAAAAAAATCTAGCGCGTGTATGTGAAGTAGAAATGAGAATTATTAATGATAGCTTGGTTTGAAATAAATTTGAAATTAAGAGCACGTGTTTTTGCTGTAAACAGCAGCATCCATCATGTCTTTTGTTAAGCTTGGCAAGTGATATAAAAATAGATTGAAATTATTCAAGAGATAATGGAAGAAAATAATCTTCACAGTAGCTTTTCATCTATGAGAAAAAATTGATATATTTGTTAATGAATTTAGAGCTTTAGGTGATTTATTAAATGGCATCAGGAGTGTAGCGATGACTTTATGTATCTTTGAGATCTTGAATTCTCAAGATAGAACGCTTTTAAGATCTAAATGGTTCATCATTCATTCGTTAGCCAAACCTTCGTGATTCCAATAGCCTTAATCGAATGCAATCTCACACAAGTAATTGATCTTCAAGTGCCTAAGCCAATAAATAATTACTCTCATTTTTGACCATGAAATTTCTCCATAATGACTGGTTTTGAAATAAAAAGGCACGATTTAATGTATTATTAATATTAATTCATTATTCACAGCAAAAAATAACAATCTGAAGTTGTTTTTCAAGTTCATGAATATTTTGACTTAAGTACTTAAAAGCTATCAAATGCAAAAGAAAGTCCTAAAATTATAAAATAGCCAACAAACATGGTCATTCAAATATTCCTTACAATGACCTTTGAAGGCGTTAATGAAATTTTATGATCGATTATAGATTATGATTGATTTCCATAAACACTTAACACAAATGCTTTTTTCAAGTGTCCGCTGAGCAAACTTTCGTGTGAATTTTTAAGTGTTTGTTAAAAAAACTTATGAATAAATTTTGGGTATTTTGTGATTTTGCAAAAAAATGAGTTAAGACATTGACCAATGAATTCAAAAAATTTCTAACATGCTTCTACGTTTTTTTTTTTATGCAATTCACAACCCGATCATCAACTTTTACCTCATTAATAATCTATTTCCATTGCCATTGAAACCATATGAACCCATAAATTCACATTAACAAATCGATAATTTCCCTTAACAATTTCTCATTCGTTCAAGATTCTTTCATATTGTTCGTGATTAGTGAAAGAGGCTCTGATAAAAATTTGCACGTCTATAAGTCCAGTGAGTCGATTGAGGAGAGAAACATGATGATTACGTGCTGAGAAACTTTCAGAAATAAATAAATTTTCTGTGGTTTTCAAAATATTTGCAATAAGCTCAAGAGCAATGAATTAAAGAACAATCATGTATGTGTGTAACAATTATTGAGGCATTTTCACTCACGAGCTATTCCGTAATTTATGAATCACATCTGATCACGTGTCAAAATATTTTTCATGGACCAATGGCAATGTCAATGAGGAACAACAAAAGAGAAAGATATCTCATAGACTAGATGTGAAGATCACGGGCATAATTGTGCCTTATTTTTGTTTGTGAGCGCCTTACAGTACATCACATGCTGCTTAATTTGCCATTAAATGAAAATACACGTCAATAAAAATTAATTTATTTGCAAACAAGCATGAAAAGCGATTAGTAATTTTTTTCCTCTTTCATTTCTCGCTCACTGTCTTTAATTGCACCCATAGGAGCATTAATTAAGATGCTTGTTATGCCTATTTAATGATGATGATGTATTCAGTGCTGCCTCCTTTTGCTCTTCAAGTGTAAGATACTCACACATGTGACTGAAAATGTTTATGCATTTTATATTGTATTAAATCAATGATGAATAAAATGAATAAGAGCAGAAGAATGTCGATAATTATAATCATCATTTCATTTCTTAAGTAATAAATTGTAAGTGTTATGTTATGAATTTTTAATAGAAGAAATTTAAAAGTTTGAAATTCTTTTAGTTTTGGAGTTTATAAGCGTCTTTTGGGAGTACGTTGAACTCAAAGCTAGTGTAATGTCTGGATTGGACTGTATGGATCCGACAATATTGATAACCCTAAGTTATACCCCAAGTTATACTTAGGAATCGGATCCTGATGTAATTTATGTCATCATTAGATCAAGTCAATTTAAATATCATCTTAATTAGCAATTCATCGGAATCATCTGTGTGATAATTTCAAGGCAAACCTGTCATTACGTTAAAAGGTAATTGATAAAGTGCCGATTTAAGCACAGATACTTTTATAAGTTTCCAACAATATTACTTCATACAAGCTATTTAAAAATACAATTTGTAATTCACATGAGCACAAGATTGACACTTTGTAGTAACTTTTTCTCCAAACAATTCCATTTCTATCCAATAAAAAGGAACTGAAATTGATATAAAGAAAAATATCTGCCTGCATAAAACCATCGATTGACAGCCTTCAATCAGACATGATGCCTACATTGTTACCATTTCTTTATTCAATAAAAAGCTCGAAAGAAGCGCTAACAATTGCATAAAAGCAGCAAAGCTATACCATCATGAAGAGCAAGTTCAGTCAGCAGCGGCAAACTAGAAGAAGAGTAAAAATTTCACTTTCATTGCTACAAAAGCTAATTGATTTTGTGTTGTATGGAAGACATGAATGGAATTAAAAATTTATCTTGTTTGTTGTTGTCATTCCTTATAAATCCACACAAACAAAAAGATTAAATAAAAAATTCATTTTTATGACCATAATCAATTTAATATTTAATAATTTTTACGTACTCACAATGAGATATGATAGATATGACGATGAAGAAAGAGTTATAAAATATTGTTCAACAATTTGTCATCATCTATTTACTGAATGACAATTGGAATCTATATGGTTATTGAATGTCGATGAATGGAACTTGTTGATAAAGAAATAAAGAAAGTTGAGAGAATTTCAAAAGCCATTGACTAGTAGATTAAGTCATTTTAATGTCATAGA